AGACACGACCTGGTGTCGAATCTTTCGATTCTACTCCGGAAAAAAAATATTTACAACATAGATTATGGTGAGACCTTTTCGCCAGTAGCTATGGTTAAGTCCATTCGGATTCTCTTGGCTGTAGCCGCTCATATGGATTATGAGGTCTGGCAGATGGATGTCAAGACGACTTTCCTTAATGGGAACCTTCAGGAAGACATCTATATGTAGCAACCAGAGGGATTCATTGTTGAAGGTCGTAAGCATCTAGTGTGTAAGCTTAATCGGTCCATTTATGAATTGAAGCAAGCTTCGAGGTCTTGAAACATTCGGTTCGATGAGGTGATCCAGTCGTACGGGTTCACTCAATGTCCGGATGAGCACTGCATGTACAAGAAAATCAGTGGGAGTGTGGTGGTGTTTCTTGTGCTGTACGTGGATGACATACTTCTTATTGGAAACAGTAAGAAGGAGTTGTCAGACGTAAAGGTGTGGTTGTCTAAGCAGTTTGATATGAAGGACTTAGGAGAAGCGGGACACATTCTTGGTATTAGGGTCGTTCGAGACCGTAAGAAGAGAATGTTGTGCTTATCCCAGTCTTCATACATAGATACTATCTTGGCTAGGTTCAGTATGCAGGACTCCAAGAAAGGTACCTTGCCTTTCAGAAAAGGAATCCATCTCTCTAAGGAGATGTCTCCCAAGACGTCTCAAGAGATTGAGGATATGAAGACAGTTCCTTATGCATCGGCAGTATGAAGTCTTATGTATGCAATGCTTTGTACCACCAGATATCAACTATGTCGTTGTCTTAGTAGCTAGATATCAAAGTAATCCGGGTATGGAACATTGGTCTGCGGTGAAGCATATACTCAAGTACTTGAGAAAGACTAAGGAGTACATGTTAGTTTACCGTGCAGACAGCTTGTTACCTTTGGGTTACAGTGATTCTGATTTCCAGTCAGATAGGGACGAGAGTAAGCTAACCTCAGGTTATGTGTTTACCTTGGGAGGTGGAGCCATTTTATGGAGGAGTGCTAAGCAGAAATGCGTGGCAGACTCTACCATGGAAGTCGAGTACATAGCAACCTCAGAGGCAGTCTGGCTCAGAAACTTCTTAGTGGACTTAGAGGTGATTCCGAGTTTGCCACGTGGTATCACCATATACTGTGATAATAGTAGAGCAGTAGCAAACTCAAAGGAACCACAAGCCCACAGAGCAAGTAAACAGATAAAGTGAAAGTATCATCTGATTCGAGAGATAGTTGGTAGAGGAGACGTTGATGTTGCCTATTGCATCTGAGGACAACCTAGCTGATCCTTTCACGAAGATTTTGTCGGAGAAGGTCTTCGTCAAACACGTGACAGGAATGGGAGTCAAGTGCATGGCGATAGGATCGACATAGGTCTTTTAGAATAACGGATTGATAGGACTATACTTGTAAAAGCGAAAGCTTTAAGTATAAGTGGGAGATTGTTAGTGTTATATACTGAAAGCTTGGCTTTGGATGATACTACACTTTTACCCTTTATGAATGAAAAATATGTTAGATTAAACAAGTTCTGCGTTCTGTTGTTTTGCATTAGATAGTGTGGGTCGTCATCGAGCAAACCGAAGATCATGCTATCAGTTACTCGCGAAACAAGAATAATTGGTTCACAACCCAGATGGACATGAACACCCCTTCGTGAACGGTTGTAGTGTCAACCGTACAGTTTGTCTTGACTTATTAGTTGCACTAGTACATTTATGTATTGAACAGGATCTCAGAGAGGAGCAGTTCATTTTATACTGATCGTCGTAAATGAACTAGGCCTCGGTTAATTACTGCATGCTCTTAACCCGTAAGATATTAAACAGACAAATATGTGTAGTACTTATTACTTTGATTCACATGGGTGAGGCTTAGTGAACTGGGCCAATAGACCCGCTGTCTTGGGTAATATTGCTGCATATAGAATGTGCTGTTAGGATATTTACGGTCACATGTGCGTTAGTTTGATGATGTCCCCGGAGTGAGTTCATGAAGGATTATTATGCTAAACCCTGCAGGTGGATTAAATTCCGGCATAGTAATAATGTGATGAACGAGCGCTAGTTTCGGTGGAATAATAATAAATTAATTAATTCTTGATTGTCAGTAATCGAATTAATTAATGAACATTATATTTTAAACATGGGGGAGATAAATCGAGTAATTATTATTAGAGTTTCAATTGTAAATTAGGCTAGGAAAATGGAGTGCAATAATATTATGTTAGTGGCCCATTTAATATTATTTAATTAATTAAAATAAGTAGTTTGGTCCAGAAGTAATTTAATTAATTAAGGAGCCCTTCTCCTAATCTTCTAAGGGTCCCTACTGTAGCTATATATATACATCAGTAAGCTCATGGGAAGAGAACAGAATTCCTCATTCACGTTACACACGCCCGCGCCCGTAACTCTCTCTCAGTTCCCGTTCAAGCTTTATCTTCTTCTTGTTGTTCCACTGATACAAGATTAGGAGGTGTTTGAGATATACAGTAGAAGATCTATGGGTAAACTCAGACGAAATATATTTTGTCATACATAACTAACTGGATGTTCGATCAAGACGTGCAGCATACCCAGACGACCGTCTTGACGAGAGCTTTCTAACACCGCCAAGAACGCCGCCATCCGACACCGCACGCGCCCTTACGCGCCGCCGAAAGCTCCCAGGACTGCAAGCTTATCTTCATCCGTTTGCACCCGTTTGATCCGGTTTTCAATCTTATCTTGTTTGTGCAACCCTAAGACGCGATTTGCAGTCAACTTTTCATTAGTGTGCTATGTACGACCATCCAGAAGATCAACCAAATTGCATAAATTTTAAGCCGTAAGTTCTCTACGCAAACCTTTAGATCCGCTGCCCGTAGGTTTACGTTTTGCTATTGAATTCGTGATTTGTGCATAACGAGATTCTCATAGATCCTAACAACCACTTCGATTTCATGTTCTATTACTTGAGGAAGATTGGATTGTATGCTAAAAGTGCTTCAGTCATGTACACAACGAATGATGTTTTGTTCGACCAACACCTTAAGTCGTTGTACGCATTGTTTTTGTCAGGGTCTCGTAACCAGTCTGTTTGCACTGTTGACGATATGATCATTGACCACATCATGGGGTATAAGATAATATCAGGACTTTCTTGGTTGAATGTTGGTCATGCATTTTTCTCGATTCATTTGGAAATAAATGGGTTGGTCATTGGATTCTGAGACGCCTGTCTTTTGTTGATACGAAACTTCATATATACAATTAAATTCGCATAGAAGATTGCGATTAAATTGTTATGGAGAACGTGAAGTCGTATGTTGAGATTATTCCCATTTTCATTGGTTTGGTGACGTTTTCGAAAAAATAATTAGCTTGTAATGGCAATCTTGAGGTTGTAATTGTTGATAATCTCCCCCAGCAGCACAACAGGTACCATACATGACTTCGTATTGGTGCCAAACCCATTTTTATTCTAATTGCTTTACGTATGTATGTATGTATTATTATTTTTCTATTATTAATGTTATTATTATTAATTTACATTTTTTATATTTTTACCTATAATCTTTATCTTATTTCATTTCTGGTTATATGTTTGGTATATACAATGTTATTGTTCCATGTTAAGAAATAGTCGAACCTATAATCTTTCTATGTTTTTATCTGGTTATATGTTGGGGATATCCAATGTAACTTTTCCTTGCAATTAGTTTGATACCTCAGTTTAATGTTTTTTTTTTCTTTTTTTTTTCTTTGTGGCACTTAATATGGGTATATTTGAAGTATATGAACTTATGATTGTCTGATGTTACGGATTAGTTGAACTTACACTCTTTTATGTTTAATTCTGGTTTATGTGTGGTATATGCAATGTTCAGGTCCATTTTTGCAAATATCTTGATACTCACCCATAATATAACACAAATATATGCATATTATGTTCTTATTACGTGGTTATTTTGTATTGTATGTTTTAATTGTCGTCTCATATAATTGCACTTTGTAAATATTATTAAATTTAGTATTAAAATTAAATTTTTGCATGTTTCATGCACTATACACCACCATTTGTGTGTATTTTTGAAGTACATATTGCTTACAATTTGACAAGTTTCGAATTAAAGAATATACTTACAGGAAAATCGTAAATGATGTGTAAACATCTAATTAAGTTCATAAAAATAATTGAAGCATGAATAATATCATAACAATAGTGAATTAATAACCATTGAAATTGTACATAGCAATTGTTGGACTCTCATCTTTTCGGATTCCTACAAGTTTTCACATTGTGCCATTTCTCATTACACTTGCTGCATCTTTTTTTGACCTATTCTCCAATCCCGAATTTACCCGTTGCTTGTGTGGTCGCCCTGGCCTAACTCGTGCATTTGGGGGATTTGCCAATGTGCGGACAGATTGTGCTTCAAACGTGAATGCTATATTTCCTTCAATTGGTATAACATCTTCGTAATTTGTCAACATAGTAGAATTTAGGTAGTACACAGAACAGAATGGAACCGGATCCAGGTGGAGTGACTTTATAACATGTATAGTGTGCGGGCACGACAACTCATCAACTTGAAAGCGGGGGCATTTGCAGAACTTAGACTCTATGTCCACTATAAAGGCTTTACCATCAGATATCACTTTATACACTTTGTCGTTGGCTTTCTGTACATGTTACACATATTAGGTAATAAGTCAAGAAAAAAATACGAAAAAAAAACAACAAAAACTAAAAACCAATAATACTTACTGATTATCTTGCTGCTATTTTGTAATTAGTTTCCAACATACTATGTGGCTTCTTTGCGAGAGTAGGAAATGTGCCTTTTGCTTTATCCATATTTGCCACATTCCATCTCTGTTGCATGTCCCTAAGAGCCTCTAGTAGTTTTGTTATCGGAAGGTCACGAACGGATCAGATTGCAGCATTTATAGATTTAGCAGCATTATATGTCATGGTAAAGTTTCTATTATTGGGGCAATGAACTCTTGCCCACTTGTGAACGCCAATATTTTCTAGATATGTTATGACACTCGAATTCAACTTCATTATTCGAGAGATATGCATATCGAACTCCTCTACGGTATAGGCCTTTGTTGCTGCATATAATTCCTCTTTTACTGTTTGTGACTCAGTCTTATTATGCATCTTCAATTTGTTTGAGATGTGGTAGGTGCATAGACAATGCGCCGCATTAGGGAATACCTATATAAAAATAAGTGAGGATTGATCAGTGTATGTACTAGTAAATATATATATATGTAAACAAATGAACAATACACTGCTCAGAAAATACCCAGTATATATATACTAGTAAATATACTTCATTATCACTGCAAATATACTATCACCTTATCTACAGGCTTTCTGACAATCTGAAACAATGCATAGACCATCTCTCTCACCAATAACAGCTTGCAATTTTGTAAGAAACCACGCGTATGAGTGGTTATTCTCCGAGTCAACAACACTAAATGCAAGCGGTTGAATGTGAGAATTTGCATCTTGACAACATGTTAACAAAAGTCCTCCGTATGCTGAAGTAAAAAATGTCCCATTGACAATAACAATTAGCCGACAATGGACCCAGCCTTTAACAGATTCATCGAGTGACATGAAAATGTACAAGAAATTCTTCTCCGAAGTGGTGCTCACTCTAAAAATGCTACCCGGGTTTGATGCACGTACCTTCAAAAGATATTGATGAACATAATTAAGATTCATTAACTTTGCCACGTACTTCATCAATAACTTTCCATTTTGACCTCCACGCTTTTTGGAACGTCAAACTTATTCCATAACGACTTTGCATGTCGTCAACGAATCTGAAAGAAGAGAAAAGATCAGACCTGCAACCCCATAACCGACAGCGAAGACTTCAAATGATAGACCGACGGAAGTGACTCATATCAAGGGGATTATATGCAGTCTTCGTGTTCGTGAATTTCGTCTTGATAAAATCACTAACAAAGGTTGAGGTAGCCTGTCTCTGGTTACTTGTTCGAACATCCAACGGACATATATGTTCAGTCCCGACACCCATTATCTTAAAAGTGTTTGACTTACCCAAGCATGATGCTTTCACAAACCATGAACAATCGCTCGATACACACCTTACATAGTATTGTTTGGAGCAAGACTTCTCCACTTGAATTGTTACTGATGCTTTATAGCATGCATGGTCAACAATTTCTGCAGCTCTTTTTATCCTTTAGCAAATAACCAGCAACAATGCCAGAGGCAACATTTTGTTCGAATGTCAACTCCATCTCACTATCAGGGTTTATGTTAAGTATATTTTCAGTATATGTTGCAGCTTCTACAATCTCTTCAGCTACATTCCTTGTGAACGACAAAAAATTTATCGAGCAATCTGTGATATCAGGATACCTGTCAAGATCTGGATAACTCAAAGGTGCAAAATTTGAATCGTAATTCGTAGAACAAATATTTCGTTCATTATGCGACGAATCTTCAGCAATACTGTGAGCCTTCACCTCCAAGCAAATTGGAAACTTCGTGTAGTCAGCTTCTTTGGACTACAAGAAGATATAGAAGCTAAGGCTTCTGTCGTCTTTTATGGACATATGTGGACACCCTTCCTTCAGTTTATATTTCAGTTCAATGATAGATGATTGAGACATCACTCCGAACTCAGCACACAATATACCACATAATTCGTTGAAGTTGCAATTCCTTTCGTACCAAAACACCAGTCAGACGGTAATTCACGTACTCGTTCACGATCCATTCACTTCCATGATGTATGAAAATCATCATGCTCGACTCCATTTACAAAAAAAAAAGAAAGAGAGAGAGAGAGAGAGAGAGAGAGAGAGAGAGAGAGAGAGAGATTATTCTTGGTGGAAACAATAAAATCTGAAAACAAACGTTCAAAAAAAAACTCGAAGTTATGTAGTTTTAAATATATGATAAAATTACATAAATATACCTCTATTCTACCGGCCATGAAGTCACGGTTTTTTAAGTATATGTTTGGTGAATTATTGTCGCGGAGACTCTAATCGATCCCATAGTTTTTTTTTTCTTTTTTTTTTTTTGTAGATGTCGTGATTTTGAATACTTTTAAAATTCAAATCTCATATCTTTTCCATAAAAATTAGTCTAATATGCATTTCAAATAAAGATTACGATTTTTTATATATATATATATATATTTTTCCAGGTAACCCTCGCGGAAACCACGCCACCAACATATGGGATGAGGACGTTACAATTGGTAACTGATATTTAGGCAATCACGTAATTAAAATTGGTTCATTAAGTATATACCCTATTAAGTAAATTCGAAAATTCTTTATTTTCGTGTAGTATGCATAAAAATTTCCCTATATTAGTATACAATCTGAACGTCCATTATTAATATATTAATATTAATATGAACGTCCAATATTAGTTTTAATATTATGGATTACATTAGTTATAAAATTTTTTATTG